TGCTGTCTCAAAGGGGAAAATTTGTTTCTTTTTTATAGCTGAGTACTAATCCATTATGTCTAGTATGGTTGTACCATAACTATTTTATCTACTCATCTTCTGATGATCAGTTGGGCTGCTATTATAAATAACATTGCAAACAATACAGTGGTGCATGTATTTTTTCAAATTAGTGTTTTGGATTTCTTCAGGTAAATTGCCAGGTGTGTAATCTCTGGGTCATAAGAGAGTTAGATTTTAAATTTTTTGAGATACTCGTTAGCCCATTATATGCACTTGCTTTCTTTGTCAAATATTAATTGACTAGAAAGGTGTGGGTTTATTTGTGGGCCCTCTGTTCTGTTACATTGATCTATGTATCCATTTTTTTCTTGCCACTACCATGCTGTTTTGATTACTGTGGCCTTATAGTATAGTTTGAGATTAAGTAGCATGATTCCTCCAACTTTGTTCTTCTCTGTCTAGATTACTGTTTCTATTTGAAGCCTCTTGTGGTTCCATATATTTAAAAAAATTTTTGGTCAACTTTTGTGAAATACATCTTTGGTATTTTGATAGAAATTACATTGACTGTATAGATTGCTTTGGACATTTTAATGATATTAATGCTCCCACTTATTTCTATCATTTAAAATTTTTCTTCAGTGTCTTATAATTTTCTGAGTACAGAATCTTTTAATTATCAGTTAAATTTATTCCTAGGTATTTAAAAAATTTTATTTAGTTATTTTTCAAGTACAATTTTTTGTCTATTTCTCCCATCCCAGCCCCCCTCCCCCGCCCCATGCTCCCCACCTCCTATTCCTAGGTATTTTATTCTTTTTGAAGCAATTGTGAATGAGGTTGTCTTTCTTTTCTGAATTTATTTATTTGGGTCCTTCCTGTTTTTTTTCTTGATAAGTCAGGTTAAATGTTTGTATTTTCAGAGAAACAGCTCTTGGATTCACTGGTTTGTTGTATTGTTTTAAACTCTGTTTCATGTATTTTTATTCTGATCTTTATTCTTTCCTATCTTCTACTCAATTTAGACTGTTGTTTTTTGTACTTTCTTTAAGTGTAAAGTTAAGCTGTTTACTTGAGCTTTTTCTTGTTTCTTGATATAGGCTTGTATTGCTATGAATTTCCCTCTTAGGACTGCTTTTGCAGTCCCACAGATTTTAGGTTCTTGTGTTCGTATTTTCATTTGTTTCATGATATCTTTTGATTTCTTCTTATGTTTTATTGTTAACCCATTCATTGTTTAATAACGTGTTAATTAACTTCCATGTCTCTGTATTTTTCAGTTTTCTTCTTGTGATTGATTTCAGTGTCATAAAATTGTAGTCAGAGAAGATACTTGATATGATTTCAATCTTGTTTAATTTACTGAGACTCATTTTGTGTTGTAAGATGTGATATATCCCAGAAAACTTTCCAAGTGCATTTGAGAAAAACATATGTTCTGTGGTTTGGAGATGAAATGTTCTGAAAATATTCATTATATTCTTTTGATCTAGTGTGTCTTTTAAAGCTGTCATCTCCTTGTTGACCTTCTGCCTGGAAGATGTATTCATTGAAGTCAGTGCATTTTTTTCAGTCCCCTACTATGACTGTATTTGTGTCAACCTCTCCTTTTATGTACATCAAAATTTGTTTTACTTGTTTAGGTGCTCCTATGTTGGGTGCATAAATGTTTGCTAAAGTTATAACCTCCTGTTGGATTGTTCTCTTTATCATTAGCTAGTGTCCTTCTCTGTCTGTTACTGTAGTGTGGTTTTAAAGTCTATTGTGCTAGATTTAAGGTTTGCTAACCCAGCTATTTTCCTTTCCTTTTTCATGAATTTTTTCATCCCTTACTTGTAGTCTGTGTGTATCTTTTACTCTAAAGTGGACCCATTAAAGGCAACATTACACGGGTCTTGTTTTCTTTTCCATTCATCTACCCTATGTCTTTTTGATGGGAACATTTAAGTCATTTACATAAAATGATTATTGATAGATACCTATTTACTGCCATTTTATTTTTATTCTGTGCTCCTCTGTTTTTATTGTTGTCTTCATTGTCATTGTGCTTCTTCCTCTCCTCCTCCTCCTCTTCTACTTCCTTCTTTTTCTTCTTCCTTCTTCTTCTTCCTTCTCTTTCTTCTTCTTCTCCTTGATCTTCTAAAGCAAACCACTTAGCATTCCCTGTAATACTGGTTTGGTGGTAGCAGAGTCCTTTAGCTTTTCTTTTCTGGGAAACTCTATATTTTCCCCTCAATTTTAAATGATAGCCTTGCTGATAATGTAGCCTGGGTTGTTGGTCCTTGAGTATTTCATGCCAATCTCTCTAGCCTAAAATGTTGTTGAGAAATCAGGAGACTGTCTTATGGAAGCTCCCTTATAGGCAACTAACTGCTTCCCTCTAGGGGCTTTTAAGAATCTCTCTTTGTCTTTAACCTTTGTCATTTTAATTATGATGTATCTTGTTAGATCTCTTTGTATCCATCTTGTTCAGGACAGTCTCCACTTTCTGGACTGGTGTGCTTTTTTTCTTTATCAGCTTAGGGAAGATTGATCATTATTTTTTCGAATAGGTTCTTCATCTCCTGCTTTCTCTCCTTTTGGTATTCTTATGATATGGACATTTTTATGTTACATGTCATCCCAAATATTCCTTAAACTATCCTCATTTTTAAAAATTATGTTATCTGCAGCTCTGATTGGTTATTTTTTCTATCTTTTCTTCCAAATTTCTAATTCTATCCTCTCCTTCATGTAACTTACAGGAACAGAGGGGACATGCAACAAGGCAGCAGGTGGCAGACAGGGCATGTGAGGCAGAAGCTGGTAAACCAGGTGATAATACATCCCTGTGCAGATAAACTGGTAGGAAGAACTGGGGAGCAAGAGAAACTGTGTGATCCATGTTCCAGTGACAGGAAAAGAAAACTTCAAAACTCCTAGTTGTAAAAACTTGTTGGGGTTGTGGCAGTGGGAGGACCTACCAGGCTCACAGGACGGTCTGTTGAAGGGGTCTATACGGTCCTAGAACATATAAAAACCCACCAACCCAGGAATAAGCACCAGAAGTATACAATGTCTTCATGGGTAGTGGGGGAAGCAACTGAAAGCAATGTGAGAGCTGAGCGGGTGGCATTGTTTCTTCTCTGATCCCTACCCCGAATACAGTGCCATAGTGCAGAGAAGTGGGTTTTCCCACCATAGTGAATACTGAAGTCTCTGCCCATTACAATGCACCAAGGTAAAGAAATATGACCCAAATGAAGGAACAGATCAAGACTCTGGGAAAAGAATTAAGTGCCAATGAGATAGCCACCCTATCAGATGCAGAATTCAAACCACTGGTAATCAGGATGCTCACAGAAATGATTGAGTAGAAACCATATGCAAAATAAAAGAAGAAGTGAAGGCTATACAAAGTGAAATAAAGTAAAATATACAGGGAACCAAAAGTGAAGGGAGGGAAATCAGGACTCAAATCAATGATTTGGGACAAAAGGAAGAAATAAACCTTCAATTAGAACAGAATGAATAAACAAGAATTCAGAAAAATGAGAAGAGGCTTAGGAAACTCTGGAACAACTTTAAACATTTCAACATCCAAATCATAGGAGTACCAGACAGGGGAGAGGAAGAGCAAGAAATCAAAAACCTATCTGAGAAAAACAATGAAAGAAAATTTCCCTAATCTTGTGAAGGAAATAGACATACAAGTCCAGGAAGCTCAGAGAATCCCAAAGAAGTGGGACCCAAAGAGGAATACACCAAAATACATCTTAATTAAATTACCCAAGATTAAAGATAAGGAGAGAATCTTAAAAGCAACAAGAGTAAAGGAGCTACCTCCAAAGAAGTTCCCATAAGACAACCAGCCAATTTCTCAAAAGAAATGTTGCATGAAAGAAGGGGCTGGAAACAAATATTCCAAGTCAAGAAAAACAAAAACCTACATCCAAGGTTATTCTATCCAATAAAGGTATCATTTAGAATGAAAGGGTAGATAAAGTACTTCCCAGATAAGGTCACATTAAAGGAGTTCATCATCACCAAGCCCTTATTATGAAAGGTTAAAGAAACTTAGTAAAAAGAAGATCAAAACTATGAACACTCACAATTGTCAACAACTGAACCTAAAAATACAAAAACCAACAGAAACCAAACAAGCAACTAGAATAGGAACAGAATCACGCAAATGGAGATCACATGTAGGGTTATCAGTGGGGAGAAGGAGAAGGGACAATGGGGTAAAATGTGCAGGGAATAACAAGCACAATTGGTAAGTACAAAATAGATAGGAGGATGTTAAGAATAGTATAGGAAATAGACCAAAGAACTTACATGTACAACCCATGCACATGAACTAAGAGGGTAGGTAGTGTCGGGGTTAGGAGAATACAGGGTAGAGGGGGGTAAAGGGGAGAAAAAATAAAACAACTGTAATAACATAATTAATAAAATATACTTAAAAAATAAAGTGGCTGTATCTCTAGCCATCTCTCGTTGGCAGAGAGAAACCCTGCTACTTTTCACAGGGGGATCTTACATGGATGTCTTTTCCAGTTCTGATATTACAGGCTAGCATGCCTGCCTTAGGGTTTAGACCCCACACTACTCAAGGGATTCCCTGGTCACTGAAATATCCTCCAGAACTTCAGCTGCTGCCCTTGGGAGCCCAGCCAGCTCTCTCGCACTTCTGCACTTCCCACCAGTCTCAGTGTGGTGATGTAGTTTGTTTTGTAATTCCTTGGCTATAAGCCTTCTCTTCAGCTCATCTTCAGTTGGTTATTTAGGATGATTAATTTATAATTTAGTTTGTAATTTCAGATTGGTCGTGGAAGGAGTTTAGTGTAGCTTCCACCTACTCTGCCCCCACCTTATAATATACGTGTGAGTTCTTAATGATCAGGTCACTTTACCCAGACTCCTATATGTATTTCAGTGTGATCTGACATTCTAAGGGAAGAACACAAATCATTGCTACTGAGAGTGTAAAGTACAACAAACACAGACAGGTTTACCTTAGGCAGAGGTTTGGCAGGCTTGCAGTGGAGTCCTCCAACAAATTCAAAATGTGGTAAGAGTGGGCGAGGAAATTCAAAATCCCAGTAGGTTCGAATGAGCCACATTTCAGCTTTCCCCATCAACTCAGATAAAGTTGTGGGTCTTCCTGAAAGGAAAAGTAGAAAAAAAGTAGATAAAATGAGAGTCGTTTAATGTACCTGGAAATTTTTTGAAAGGAGCTTGAACTAATGTAGCCCAAAATGTTGAAAAGTCATTGTTTGAAAATACAAATATGTGTACACATACATTATATATGTTATAACAGACTTTTATCTCTATGTGACATCAGTACATTCAGAATCATAAACAATTGTTAATCTAAGCACTAAAGCAGTAGATATGCATTTGTTTTCTCTGTTAACCTACAATGAACTAATGTAGGTGTAAATGGTGACTTTGACTCCTCGAGACATTAACCCTGTCATGCACATGAAATGCCATTTCCTAGAATATTCTGTATAGATTCTACAATTTAGCAAGCTATTCCTTTGTTTCTAGATTTTGCAAGTAAAGTAAATGGTGAGGTTTTAAGAATGGCTACTATTGCATTTGATTCATGTTAGAAGCTTAATAATATTTATCTACTAAATAAAAGTATTTGCAGAAAAGATGGAAAATTTTTAAAGTATGACAATAGAAGTGCTTATCATTAATTTTGGTTCATTTTGCCTTTGTTGAGGAGATACAATTAAAAATATAGACATATAACTTGATTGATTACCCACCCTTCAAGAGATGACTTAAAGGCACTTAGTGATGAAATACAATCAATAAAAACCTCAAATTATAGGTTCCTGAATCTGGGATAAAGTTATTATATTTCTCCATTATCAAAGATTCCTTTAGGCAATAGGGCAATCCAGTTTAAATTTTTAAATATGGAAACCAAGGAGAAACAAGTGGAAACAATTTCTTCAATCATCCATAAACAGTGTGCTGGAAAAAACTCCTCAATCTTCAGTTGTGCTTTGATGAGATGGATAATGAAACTTCTAATGCCTTTATTGAAGATTAAAAATTTATACTAAAATTGATTTTTAGGATAAATAGAGCACAAATGATTTTCAGGCAGTTATACTAGTCTGTACAATACTATAATGACACATACATGAAATTATAAATTTGTCCAAAACTACAAAATATACACCAAGAGTGAACCATAATGTAAACTATGGACTTTATATGATAATGATATGTCAGTGTTTTTCCATCAGTTACAACAAATGTACTGTTTTGAAGGGGAATGTTGACAATAAAGGAGATGGTGCTTGTGAGGAGGTAGGGCATATATGTGAAATCTCTACTTAACATTGCGATGGACCTAAAACTTTTCTATAAAATAAAAGTTATTGGAAACAAACAAATAAACAAGGTAGATATGTGATCATTTGAAAAACTCTCAGTGCTTCAGTCTGGGTCTCTGACTTCCTGGAGTGTTCTGTACTACTGGACCACAAGGTTGAAACTAACCTTATAATTTAAGCATTATTATAATATTTATAAGACTAAGGACATTATATATTACTTAATCATTTTCCTTATAAAAGACACATTTCTCTGACTTAGTATTCACACAAACTCACCTCCCAAGGCACTAGGAAAAGTAGGACTTCATGGTGCCAAGTAAAAACATAACTTACCTAGTACGTCACTGTAGAACTTATTTGACTTCTTCTGATCATATGTTTGGAACCAGAAGTCAAAGTAAAGCACATACATCATATTTTTCACCCTTTCCATGAACGTCATTTGATCACTTAATTCTGACAAGATAATAGGTACGTAGGATGGAGGGAATGGAAGTCCTCCACACTGCTTTTCAATCGCATAGCCAGGAAAGAAGCGAAGACTGTACACAAGGGGTATTTTAAGTAGTTCAGCCAGAAGTTCACTACAGTGTCCAATGGCATCTGCAAGAATGACATCAAACTTTTCTTGCTGTAGTTTTGTCATAAGTTTCTTATTAGAAACAGCATCTCTACAGAGCTTTTCAATAACTTCATAACCTTCCAAAATCATTTCTTGAATTTGTGAAAAATATGCCCAAAATGTATTCTTTGGCAGATCATTTGTCCATTTACTAATTAGCTTAATGAAAAAAAATTCCATATCATCTTTTGTAAAGGATGTAGGGAAAATCTCAAATCTAATAGAAGATTGCGTATTAGCATTAACAAGAATTGAAGCTGTAGATGTCAGAACAGTCACTTCATGACCTCTCTGAACAAGTTCATCCAGGATGATCTTCATATTGATCCAATGGCTATATTCTGTGGGCCACACCAGCACCTTTCCACAGCCCCCAGGGCTGAACTGACAACTCAGCTGTAGCAGCAGAAGAACCAAAATCCATTTCATAGACATTTTGCCGGAACACATAGTTATTTCCAAACTGATTATCTCTTTTGTCACTGCTCATATTTATACAAGGAGAAATCAATCAGGAAGTTAATATACAACTCCTACAACTCAAAGTGAAAATATGATAACATTTGGATTACAAGTGGAAAAAGCAAAAGGTAGCTGAATACTTAGGCAATGATGATGACATATAAATATCTCACTCTGCTCATAGTTATTAGATTTCCCATGAGAAACTAATGGGGAATCTAATGGTTTCCTACACAGGGTTTTATTTATTTATTTATTCATTCATTCAAGTCAGCTAATGTTTAATTATGACATTTTAAAATTGTAAAAGTGTTTTCATATCTGCCCCTTTCTATATTTAATCTCTTTAAAATGGTGGGTAAACACCAACCAGTCACAGGTTTAATATGTTTAATAAAAGGTTGATGCCTTCAGCTCCTATTTGCAGCATCCAATATTGTATGCCTTTGAAACACCAAACTTGACAGTGACTAACAATAAATTTCAGACCTCCAGAGTTTAAAAGTTCAGATTCTCTGACCATTCTGTTTTGCAGTAGCACTCATCCAAAATCAGTACCTGCTTGTGGTTGGGCAAGTGCCAGTTGAGGAAGCTTTTTCCCTTTTCATGGGAAAAAATAGACTCTGCAAAATACAGCAGATCTGGCTGTGGGTCTTTCATTTTGTCCCATGTCTTCTGGTTTATTCTTTTTTTTTTTTTTTTTTTTTTTTTTTTTGCAGTGGAAGAAGAAAAGACAAAATCTAATCTTAGTTACAAGAAACAAGACATTGATGGACATGAAGGGAGCCACCAGAAACAACTGAGATAGTTCTTTATCTCCCACATCCAGTGTATGTGATTCAAACACAAAACAAAACAAAACAAAACAAAACAAAAATAACAGGTCACAGAGTAAAAGAGCTAGAATTACAAAATCCATTTCTCCAAGGGTTGTGGAAGAAAGGAAAGGGAGGCACAGGGAGAAAAACTATTCGGATCAGTCCAGGGATGGGATTTGGCAAATGCTAGTAAAAATCTCCAGAGAAACATGTGGTCTATCAGTTTCACAGGTGTTTAAAAATCTACGTATTTGTGTCAGGGATTTTGGGCCTTACATGCACCAGAAACAAGAATCCAAGTTTCTCAGAGGGAAGGGAATATGCAGAGGATTTATGCAAAATGGGTCCTGCTTTCCTGGAGGTGGGTATGAGCAGGAAAAAAGGTACAAAGCCTCCTTCCAAACCACTGGTCCTCTCTAAATGGCAGGTGACTTATTGACCTGCAAAAGCTTGGCAGGAGGTGAATGCGAGAAAGGGAGATTCTTTGCCAAGGCTGAGCCACTTGGGACATTGCAGGAAGAATTGGTTGCTTAAGAAAACCACCAAGGATAATCAGGATGCTCACAGAATTCATTGAATTTGGTCACAAATTAGATGAAAAAAAAATGAAGGCTATGCTAAGTGAAATAAAATAAAATGTACAGGGAACCAACAGTGATGGGAAGAAAACTGGGACTCAATCAATGGAGTGGACTAGAAGAAAGAAAAAAACATTCAATCAGAAAAGAATAAAGAAACAAGAATTCAAAAAAAAAAATGAGAACCTTAGGAAGCTCCAGGACATCTTTAAATATTCCAACATCCGAATTATAGGGGTACTAGAAGGAGAAGAGGAAGAGCAACAAGAGGAAAACTTATTTAAACAAATAATAAAGAAAAACTTCCCCAATCTGGCAAAGGAAATAGACTTCCAGGAAGTCCAGGAAGCTCAGAGTCCCAAAGAAGGTAACACCAAAGAAAAACACACCAAGGCATGTCATAATCCCATTACCCAAGATTAAAATGAAGAAGAGGATCCTAGAAGCAGCTAGAGATAAGGAAGCAGTTAACTATAAAGAAGTTCCCATCACACTGTCAGCTGATTTCTCAAAAAAAATTTTACAGAGAAGAAGGGGTTAGGGAGAAGTATTCCAAGTCATGAAAGGCGAGGACCTACATCTAAGATTGCTCTATCCAGCAAAGTTTTCATTTACAATGGAGGACAGATAAAATGCTTCTCAGATAAGGTCAACTTAAAGAAGTTCATCATCACCAAGCCCTTATTATATGAAATGTTAAAGGGACTTATCTAAGAGCAAGAAGGTAAAAAACATGTACAGTAATATGACAACAAAATCACGATAATTAACAACCACACCTAAAACAAAAACAAAAACAAAGTAAGCAAACAACTAGAACAGGAACAGAACCACAGAAATTGAGAATACATGGAGGGTTATCAACAGGGGAGTGGAGGAGCAGAGAGGGGGAAAAGGTACAGAGAATAGATGATAGGTAGAAAATAGAGAGGGAGAGGGTAAGAACAGTATGGGAAATGTAGAAGTGAAGAACTTATGGCACATGGACATGAACTAAAGCAGGGAGATGTGGGTGGGAGACGGTGTGCAGGGTGTAGGGGAGTGAAAGGTGAAAAATGGGAGAATGTAATAGCATAATCAATAAAATATATTAAAAAAGAAAACCACCAAGAAGAAGAGGCTCAACCATGGGTCTTTGCTTCATTGGCATTGATATTGAACACAGGAAAGTGGATAGAGAAGAGACAGGCACTGATGATGTGTGAGGACTGCCTACAGGGATGAAAGCCAAGGGCAGACCAAATCCCAAATAGTAAGGCTGATTTCTCTCTATGTTTGACAATCACTGGTGCATTTTATTCCATTACTGAGTCTGCAATACTTAAGAAATATAGTGGATAGAGAAGGTACATGCATGCAGGAGACTCACCAGGAGACTGACAACATGGATGGGGAAGATACTCACAGAGGTCCTCAGAATAAGGAAATAAATTTGGAGCAGAAGGTGAAGAGTGTGTTATCAACAATTTTCTGGCACTAGGGAATGGATGAGCATCTAGCTTTGAGGTTGTATATATTCCCCAGATGGAGGGAAAAAGTGAGAGAGAAACAGAGACAGAATGTATTAACTTTTCTATCAGAGTCTTGGTACTAGTATTACTTTCACTGTATGCTTTTTATTGAGGCAGCTGCAAGACCTGCCAAAGTTCAAGGGAAGGAGACAGGTTGGGAGATTGTCCAATTATTTTTAGTCATATCTCAAAATCACCACCAATATAATCTTTAAATATAAGTCAGCAGAAGTCTCCAAGTTACTGTAAAATTCATAAAATATTGACATTCAACACAATAAAATTGTTAAGAATAGAAAGGTTAAATTTCTTCATGGATTGAAGTTTTAATAAGCATTGAAATACATGTATTTGTAGGTATTTTAAATTAAAGGCATGTTAAAATATGAAGAGGAGCCCCATCTTGACACCAGATTTTTGCTCAACTCAAGTATTCTGAGTAACACAAATTGATCAGATAATCTTAAAATCTTGGAATTTGTTAATTTGAATCAATATGTTAATTTCACTAACAAATTTAGTATTTCATGTAATACTTGAAAGCCATGTTGTGAAATGTCAAAGATGACATATATAAACACTTAAGTGACCATCATTGGCAATTTGCTGTATTCTTCCAGAATGTTTTCTCTGTGTTTAAACAAATTTACATATATTCTATTTCCAAAGAAGGGTATCAATCATACTTATGTTTTTATCCTTGGAGCTTGTTTTGCAATGTGATATGGAGAATATGCAATGATATTGCCTGTAATCTAATATTCTCTATAATTACTGTGTACCTCATCCCTCTCATTGGAGGTAGGTGTGCTCACTGACTGACTGATAGATATTCAGGTCCCTGAGGGAACACACTATATATACATATGTGCCTGTGTAAGTCTTTATATGGCAGCCATTAGGGTTACATGGTATGTTTCAAGTTTGAAAACCTTATTCTACATTATACCCTCTAACATAGTTTTTTCAGATTCATTTTTAATAGAAGAACATTTCTTCAACCTGATAAATGGTATTTACCTACAGCAAAGCAATAATAAGCAGTATTGGTCCAATAGTCAAAGTTTTCTACCTGAGATTGAAAGGATACAAGAATGTGAACTATGCTGCTTTAGTCAATATTGAATGTGGGTTTCTGGCCATACTGTAAAGCCAGAAATAAAGATAACATTATTTGGAGGAAAATAGCAAGAAGGAAACAGAATGTTGGGACCTGGACTTGGTTGCCACCTAATTCAAGCCAAGCCATAGTTTAGAAAACATTGTATGTATACAACATAAAGTAGACTTGCAAGCTGACTTTAAGAAAAAAATCAGACATTTGTAAGAGAAACTAACATGCTACAAAGGTGATTTGCCTTAACTTGCTTAACTGAAAATATCTCACTTTGATATTCAAAATATTTAATAGAATGAGCACTTCAGTAATGAAACAAATTTACATTTAAACACTTATTTCTGTAGACTGTATGTTATCGTTATTTATTATCATAAATAATACCCAAAGAATGTCTTAGTAAATAATAAAATGACCTCAAGTGTATCATCTGTAACCAATTTGGTAAGACTAAGTTTACTGCTCTTTAATTCCAGGCATGATTTGAACAACTTAGAAGGCTTTTGATTGGGGGAGGTGAAAGGAAGGCTGTCACTAAATCCTGTGACTTATGGAACAGGACACATGTGAAGACACCCAAGTGCTGAAAACAAGGCTGTTCCCAGAAAAGCTACTTGAACTGAGTAATAGCTTCTGTCATCCACCAAGTTAGAGTAGAAAAGCCTCTTATAAAACGAAGTTCAGGTAGTCACAGGTATTGTAGAATCATTCCCAGGCTCTTCTCTATGTTCATGAAGATTCTTCAAAAAATATAATTTAGAATATGGCAATCCACATCTTTCTCAGGTCAGACTATACCAGCCACCTCAGTCCTTCAGAAATGTGCCATCGGATTGCTGGCCAAAATGGAGGCTTAGGTGGAAACATTGTGCCTTCTCTCACAACCAAGTGTAAGGACAACAAAGTTTTAGTAACAAAAACGCAACCAAAACACAGAAAATTGAACTATAGGGAAGGCCGACAACATTAAACCTTTCAGCCAGACT